TCGCTCTGTGCGCGCCGCCATCGACTTTCTTTCCAACTGAGGGCGCCCGCTGCGGTGTCAGCCCCTGCCGCCGCCCCGCCCTCTCTTGGTCCCAGGGTCGGTGGAGCGGGAGCGGGGTGAGGCGGAGAAACCGGATAGCTCTGATGTCTGGGACTCTCTCCCTGTCCCGGGGGAGATGAGGTCGCGGGAGGGTGGGTGGGGACACATCCAGAGACTGGCTTTGGGACTGGGCCCTGGTCCGCTGCCTGGAGATGAAGGGGCCGGTCAAGGACAGAGGGTAAGGGGAGACATGGAAGAGGCTTGCAGGTTGACACACCCAGCCCGGCAGGGGCCGTGTGATCCGCTGACTGCCACAGAAGACTGCGCCGGGCCTGAACTTGGAGGGGCGGGGGAGGGAAGGAGGCAGCTGGGCGGGAGGCCAGGCACGGCAGGCTGCAGGAGGAGCCTCAGGAGGGTGGAGGTTGGCAGGACCTGGGCCTGAAGGGCTGGAGGTCACTAATTGATGGGCTCAGCCCATACAGGCGCTGGGCAGAACACTCTGTGCTGCAGGAAAATGACTGAGGTGGACACTGGAGGGACAGGGGTAGTAGCCCTTCCTGGGTGTGCTGCTGACCACACCCCTGGGTGTGCTATGACTGTTCATTGTAGAAAGAGCAGCAGCTGACCAATGGGGAGGAGGGTCCATTATTATGGTGAAGGTAGTTATGAGGGTATGTGGAGGCGGTGGGGCTTTTACCCATTGGGAAGGCCTATGAATGACCCGCCCGCACCTGACCCCAGCCACAGAAGAGGAGCTGGAGGGTGAATAGGCAGGGCAGAGGGAGCACTGAAGGCTAGTCCCAGCTGTCATTGACTCAGAGTGCCATTGGGACATTCTCTGACCACCCATGGGCCTCAGTTTCCCCAAATGTGAAGTGTCAGGCACCTCTCTCCAACCATGACATGCAACACCTACCTGCCTTTGAACCCTAAGGTCATAATAAAGCATTTTTGCTCAAGGGGAAGCCACAGCCTGCTGGTACAGCATGAGTGGGGACCCGGTGAGGGGGAACAGTGCAGGTGGGTGCTAGAGAAAGGAGAAAGCTTCCAGCTGAGCACAGGACAGGCCTGACCAGAAGGGGATGCTGCTGTCTCCCTGTCAAACGTCCCAATCCGAAAACCCCCACTCCTCAAGACCCCTCTCTGGCCTGATCGGGAGGCCTCTCGCCGTTCAAACTAATCGTCCTGGCAACCAGTCCCTGGCCTAAAATGCCACCACCTGTGCACACCTCGTCTGGGGCTAAGTGCTATAATACCACATGCTTGCCTCCTGAAAGAATGAGTCTACCCAAGTCCTTCCTTGGCCCATCTTCCAAGGACTGGGCGTGTTCCTGACCCCAGATAACAGAAATCCAGCTGGCCTGGTATCCACTGGAAGCTTTATTTCTTTAGGGTTCTATCCCAACCAGTCATTTAAAAACCAAGTAACACAGACCTAAAGGGTAGGAGCTGGGGACTGCGCCTCCCTCCTACTCACCATGGACAGCAGTGGGGAGGAGGGAGGGCGGGAGAGGTGGCTGAAGCCAGGCAGCAGCAGCAGCAGTAATGGGGCCACGACGTCACACAGCCAGCTCCGTCCTCTCCCAGACTCTGACTGAAGCCCCTATGGCTTGGGGTGGAGAGTGGAGAGAACCCACCCCAGGCCCTCCCCCTCCCTTCCTCGGATAGCCTCCTTGCGGGCTCAACCCGTTTCTTCTGGCAGGAGACTGAGGCACACGGAGAGGAGGACGCGGGAGAGACAGGGTGGTGGCACGAACGAAGGCAGAGGTGAGGCATGGGCAAGGCCCCAGCTCGAGACCCCTGGACACTCCACCCCTACGCCCACCAGGGGGAGGGGCGAGGAAGCCACACTATAACGCAGCATGTTGGGGAGACCAGGCGGGGTTTAAGGCTGAGGGGCCTGAGGCCAGTGGGCCGTGGGCCTCAGTCGAAGCCATGCCAGTCGCTGTGCTCCGAGTCGTATTCCAGCTCGGCGCCCACGCACTTGACACCATCCAGCAGCATGGGGGTGCCGTGGTGCCGGTCTGCAAGGCAGGGGTGCAGGTTGGTGCTATGCTGCGCCCCTGGCCCCACCTGCGCGGCCCACTCCAAGGGACTTTCCCCTTCCCCTCAGGGATCGGCTGGGGGTGATGGGGAGTCCACCAAGGAGACTGAGAACCTCGAGCCCAGCAAGGATTCCTTTTACATACGGCTCGCAGAGGACGAAAATTCTCACGGCCAAGTTTACACCTCCCTCCTAACCAGGCTGCGCCTCGCCTCTTACCCATAACGCGCGCCTGCACCATCACGCGCACATAGGCACTGCCGCCTTCACAGGCCAGTAGCATCTCCTCTTTGAGGACGCCCTCTTTGTGTGCAGAGTACTCGCACTTGACGCTGTAACCTGCCTGGGACAAGGGTGGGCGATCAGCACTCCTCCCCCAGCATTCACTGGCTCCCTATCCACCACCAAGACACGCTGATCCTTCCCAACAAAGAAGCAGAAATGGCCACTCCAGAGTCCAGAGCCCCAAGCTCTCTAGGCAGCGGGAACAGGTCTCTGAAGCTTCCCATTCTTCAATGAGCTGGATGTGCCTCTGGCCTGCGGCCACCCTGGTATGACTCCAAGACGAAGCAGAGTCAAATTTAGGCTTCCAAAAGAAGGGCCCAATGACTTCCCCAAAAAGGAGGACAGGAAGGGAGGATATTGAGGAAGGGGGCTCAGGGCAGGCTTTGAACAGATCAAGTGGCAAAAGGCAAAGTCCTGAGGTCCCCACTCAATCCACCGAAGGACAAAGTCATGAGGGCGGGGAGAGGGGTGTGAAAATGAAGCTGGAGCTCTGTGAAAATGACACCCTAGCCTCTGCTAGGGTGTGGGGGTGGCATAGGGGGAAGCAGCCTGAACCCCAAGACCTGGAACTGCTGGTATTAGGAGTTAGTCACAAAGTTCTTGCTGCTCCAGCAGGCTTTCTTTTTTTGCTATTTTTTTTGAGTCGGAGTCTCTCTGTTGCCCAGGCGGGTGTGCAGTGGCACACTCACAGCCGCTGCAGCCTTGACCTGCTGGACTCAGGTGATCCTTCTGCCTCAGCCTTCCAAGTAGCTGGAACTTTAGGCATGTGCTACAATGCCTGGCTAGTTTTTTGATTTAATGTAGAGATGAGATCTTGCCAAGTTGCCCAGGCTGGTCTTGAACCTGTGGGCTCAGGCAGTCCTCTTGCCTCAGCCTCCCAAAGTGCTGAGATTATAGGCATGAGCCACCACACCCAGCTGCAGGCTTTCTTGAGGGGTGCAGGAGGGAGACTTGGAGGCTTAAAGCCAGCCCCTCAGGGACTTCTATCTCAGTTACTCCCCCACCATGGCCACTGTGATACAAGGGGCAGATGTGAGCCTACAGTGTGAGCTCACAGTCTTCTGTCCAGGAACAAGGAGTGAGGCCTGGGGCATGAGAACTGCCAAGTTGCCATGCTGGAAGCTCAGAAAGAGCTGCCTGACCACCCTGGATGGGGTGAGGAAGCACCCCATGCTTTCATGGCCAGGTCCTGCTGGAGGAGGGCAGGCCTCCAGCACCCTGAGGAGAGTACGTACCTTCAGGGACGGGCACGACGCTGAGGAGCCTGAGGTGCAGGCTGGGGACAGGTGCCTCACGGATGTCCTTGCTCAGCCTGCGCACCGGGGGCAGAGTGAAGGTAATCTCATACCTGTGCAGGATCTTCAGGAAACCAACCTACAGTAGGTAGGGAGGGAAGGGAGGCACCTTCACTTACTGCTTTCCCTAGTGCCCACCTAGTTGTGCCACCTAACCCTGTGGGCCCTGGCACCTGCTTCCCTGGGAGCCCCAGAAGCCTAACTCCCTCCATCATTCCAGGTGGTCCACACCCTAGCCTGATGGCTCCAGGCCCCCTGAGAACCTCATCCTCACAGCCTGGCCAGCGTGATTCTCAGCATCTGTCTTACAGGCCCAGTCCTCTGTAGTCCATTTTATAGATGAGAAAATGGAAGCCAAAATGACTGGCCTGAGGCTACATAGTATGGCCAAGGCAAAGTCCTCCCTAGACCTCTTGGCCACTCCTGCCGCACATGGCACACAGCAAGGCACTGGCCACTGCCCATAAAAGGAGACTCAAACCTCCACCTGCCTAAAGCCAACAGCCTAGGGTCAGGGATGCTGGTCCCAGCCACTCATATGAAAATACTAGGCAACACAGCACAGAATGAGGGATAGAATAGAATTACACTAGATTAGACCAGCTGTGTCAGCCCAGAACTGGCCCACAGGCCTGGCACCAGCCATTGAATGGGCTTCTGCCTGCCCTCCTGGCACCTGACTGCCTGCCTGCCCCCTCAAAGGCTCACTGTGCCCAATGGCCCCTACTCATGACCCAAGCAATTTTTGTTGATTGTACAACAGGACTGATCGTACACAATAGTGCTTGGTGTCCAATGCCCTCTGGGACAGCTGCCATTCTTGGAAACTCCAGTGGTGTGAAGGGTCACACGCCAGGGTTGCTGCCGAGCAAGGTAACTGACAGGAGTGCCAGTTCAGCAGGCACAGGGTGACACTCCCAGCTTGCATGGGCATACCAACGCCAGCTCAGTTTCTGGGGGTGGACAGCTCTGCCCTTGGTGCTAGTAGGGACTGGCTACATGGAATTCTAGCCTTTTCTTTTTTCTTTTTTTTTTTGAGTTGGAGGCTCACAGCAACTGCAGCCTCAACCTGCTAGACTCAGGCAATCCTTTCACTTCAGTCTTCCAAGTAGCTGGATCCAAAGGTGTGCCCCACCACATACTACTAATTTTTAAAATATACTGTAGAGGCCGGGCTCGGTGGCTCAGCCTGTAATCCCAACATTTTGGGAGGCCGAGGTGAGTGGATTGCCTGAGCCTGCGGTTCGAGACCTGCCTGGGCAACTTGGCGAGACCTCATCTCTACAATAAATCAAAAATTAGCCAGGCGTGGTAGTACGCACCTGTAGTTCCAGCTACTTGGAAGGCTGAGGCAGAAGGATTGCCAGAGCCCAACAGGTCGAGGCTGCAGCGGCCAGGAGCGGCCACTGCACTCCAGTCTAGGTGACAGAGTGAGACTCCAACTCAAAAATATATATATATACTGTAGAGACAAGGTCTTGCCAAGTTCCCCACGCTGATCTTGAACCCCTGGACTCAGGCAATCCTCTCACCTCCGCCTCCCAAAGAGCTGGGATTACAGGCATATGTCACTGTGCCCAGCTGAGTTCTAGTCTTTCAGTGGGACCAGGCTGATATCACTGCGTGATAAGCCTCAATCCATGTGACCCCTCACACTCTGCTGGTGGAGGCACACCTCTCAAGAAAGCTTTCTGACTCTACCTGCCAACTGTGACTCTGTGACCCAGCCACACCTGTAGAATTTTCCAGAGGAAATACTCAGAGGTGGGCAAAAAAAATACTCTTCACTGCCCTACGTATAACAGTGAAATACACAAACAACCGTAACACCCAGGAATAGGGAACCAGCTAAATCAATGATGACACATATAATGGAATACCAGCAGTTGTAAAAATCTCGTGGAAAATTATTTACTGACACAGGCAGGAAACAGTTCACAACAAAAGCAAGCAAAAAGCAGCATGTACACTATGATACCAGCTTTTGTTTTTGGAAACAAGCTTGAAAAAAAAGCTGAAATGACACATATCAGAATATTAACCATAGTTATTTCTGGATTGAATGAGTGTGGGTACTTTTGAATTTCTTTCTATTTTTCTCTATCATCTACATTTTCTCTAATAGTCATGAGTGGATTTTGCAACAGAGGAGAGAGCTATTTTTAAAAGTTTTAGTTCACTCCGTTTATTCCCTTGGGGAAGCTGTCAGATGTAGGAGAAAGAGTGAGGATTTCAGAGTTGGAAAGAAATGGATACAAACCTGGGCCCCTTTCTGAGCAGGGCAGCAGGCCCCTACTCAGGGCCACCACCATGGACCAGACCTCTGCCCCTGTAGGAGCACTCTCACTTAATTCTGGACCCCTAGTTTATGACCATCCTGAAGGCCTCAACCCCTGTTTTCCCCAATCCAACCCTCCAGAGACTCCCTCATGCTCCTTCCAAGCAGATGTAGGATTCAGCATGTCTTAGCAGGTGGAGGAGGCATGCTGAAGGGCGTGTGAGGTGTGGTCATAAGAAGCACATGCTCCGCCACACAGAAAATGGGGTGATACATCCTACTGCAAAGAGCCCACCTTAGCTGGAGGTGTGGAAAAGAAGGGTAAAAAAAAGTCACACCCTGTTATCAACATGATTAGCTTCATGCGTGTAACACATACATTCTTCCATGCTCACAGCTACTCTATGAGGGTGTGAATTGTCTCTACTTGAGGAGAAACCCAGGTGACCTGTCCAAGGTCACAGAGCCAGAATGGCCAGTTAGATCTGAACTGGCCTGTGGCACCACAGCCCCAACACCTGCCATCCACTGCTATTATAAAGGTAAGTCCAATGACAACAGTGGCTCTGCGCACCTTGATTCGAGTGACATTCTAAATATACTCATCTTCCATTTTACAGGTGGGGAAACCGAAGCTCAAGGAGGGGCAAAGATGTGCCTATGAACCTAGCTGAAAGGAAAGAGGCCAGGAGGCCAGGCAGTGCCAGGGAGGAGGGAATGGGGCTGGTGAAGGAGGAGGTGTATGTACCTTGACCAGAAAGCTGCTTTCGCTCTCCTGGGTGACCATGACCACTGAGTCATGCAGCTTCTCATCAAAGTGGACATGGCTCTGGGAGCCTTCTGCATCGTGGCCTGCCGCAAAGCGGATACTCCGGACTCTGGGCTTGTTGCCTAGGAAAAATAGGAGAAGACTCCAGCAGCTGCTGGTTTTCCCTGCCCCCAGGAAACTATTCCCCCTCATCCCCTCCCCATCCCCAAGACAGCCCTTGACATCACCAGCTCTCACCAGCTGGACTCCTCTCAAGGCTTAGGTGGACACAGCGATCATGAAGCTTGAGGCTCCCCCGCTCTGTCCCCACCTGCCCAGCTCTTCCCACATAAATGTGCCTCCCAACCCCAAGAGTAACCATGGTGGAGGGACTCCGGGATTGGCTAATACCTAGAAGGGACAAGGGTGGTAGCAGCGACAGGAAGGGGCAGTCCTCTAGACTCTCACCAAGCATGAGGTAGCACAAGGCTCAGGCCAGGCCTCTGGACGGCCTGCCCCATGCTCTCCTGCACAGTGTCAAGCTGCCCATCCCTGAGACCTTCTCTCCCAGGCCTGTCAGTGCATGAGGCCCTGTCTGCCTCTTCTGGTGATCCCAACCTGAGGAAGGACAGGAAGCCCTAGGGGACTTGCTTGGGGAGGGGAGAAACAAAGGGGGTAAAAAAACACACTTAGCCCACCCAGGATAGGCTGCAGCTGCCACCAAACCTCACAGATCACTGGCAGATAAGGAAGAACCCCGGGAAGCCATCAGACCCCACTCCTACTTCCCTCCTCTGCTTAGCCCACCATTAAGACCCTCAGCTGTCCCTAAACTGGGTGGCTCCTTCAAGGCCAGAAAGAACAGAGGGTTGATACAGGCAAGGGGAGCAGGGAGCCAGGCTGAGGGCCTGGGCTAGGTGGATGCTTGGGCGAGGGGAGGCCAAGAGCATGACGCCATTCCTCTTGTCCCCTAGCCCCTTGACCTCCCAGGAACCCTGCCTGGAGTCCTTTTGGTGGAAGGGCCTGGGCCAGCCTCAGGCTGGGCTCTTGGACACTCAGTGGTGTCCCAGGGAGCCAGCCTGGCATATCCACAATCCCTGATGAGCCCCGTAGACCTGACCTCAAATCTTACCTGATCTCCCTGGCCTAAAACCTTCTGTTAGCCCTTCTGGACTCCAAATGAAATTCAAATTTCCTTCCACAGCCTGCTGGGTCCTGCCTATGTCACCAGTCTCCGTGCTCACCACAAGCCCCTCATTCCCCAACTCCCATAGTGGAAAGTGGGGGAACACGAGTGCACATACCTATGTAAACCAGTCTGCCAAGGAGCCAGCAGGGGTTCCTGCTAGGGCCTGCATGAAGCCCTGGGACCTGGCACAAACACTGGCATGTTCCCAATCACTTTCACACACACACACGCACACACACACATACACACACACAGCCCTACCTGCAACAATGGCCCTCCCCCCATGGCCCACTGGAAGAGCTTGGTCAAAACCCACAAAGCCAGGAAGGCACTTACCCTTGTTGGCTGCAGCCATGGACACCCTCCCTGCCACAGGGTGAGATATGTAGCTCCTGCTGGACACCGCCACTCAAGCTAAGCAGCCTCCCATGCTCCAGGGACACCAGCAGGAGCCTGAAGGATGGGGGTGGGGAGGGCAGGGGTCAGGGCCATCTTTGGACCATGGCTGGGGAGCAGATGAGCTCTTCAGGAAGGACTCAAACCCCTGCTGCTCTTAGCAGTCCTGTGGTGCCTATGTCTTCTAGAACGGTTTCTGCCCCACCTCCCACCCACTGCCCACATTCACCAAGAGCCCTCCCCCTACCTGACACACTACTAACCCAGAGCCCTGCCAGCCTGTGTTGAGCTGCTGCTTCTAGGTGCCAAAGCACCAGCATAGGCTCTTATGCTCAGCCCACTAGAGGCTGGCAGGAAGGGCAGTTTGGAAAGGAGGGAGACTTCACTGGTACTTTCCAGGGGCCAGTTCTGGTCCTGCTGACCCCAAAGGTTAGGCCTGCAAGCCACATTATTCAGGTAGGTCAGAGTCAACAGTGTGCTTGGCAGTGGACAAGAGTAGGGAACTACATAAAATAAACATGTTCTGGGAGCTTTCCCTCCTGGTGATTAGTCAGGGTAATAAAAGAAGATGCCCATGGCAGGGGTGTGCCCCCATCTGCACCTGTATTAAGACTCTGGCTGGAGTCTCAGGGCTGCCTCCCAGCTCAGCTCCCCAAGGGCAGCCTCAGTGCAGGGACAGAGTGAGACACCCCAGGAAGCCTCCGATGGTCTGAGCCAGGACCATCAAAGCATCAAAAAGAATAATGAGTGCAACTGATGGAAACAGATGAAAACATAAAAGCAGCACATTCACAGAGATTATTAAAAAGAGAGAAAGCAAAACAAACCAACCCAAACCCTCATGTGTCACCACTGACGGTAGCAATGCCCTGACTCTTTATGTTGAAAGCCAGAGATTAAACAGAAAGAATTCAGTCTATCTCTTGGCCTTTCTTGTAACCAAATTGCCCTGGTGGTTGATGGAAAGCTCTTCTTTACAGAATTCGTGCTAATAGATAACAAAGAAATCATCAAATGCTAAGTCATTCTGCAAGCCCTAAACAAACAAATGCTGGAGGCAAGAGACTCAGTGGATCTAAACCATCTGGGGAAAATTGATGGGAAGTGAATACTCACAATGCCCAAGTGCCAGTGACAGATGACCTGGTGCTCTTTAGAGGAACAGCATAAGTTTGCAATGGAGGGATGTGACCTCACCCAGTCACACACTGTTCAGTCTCCCCTCACTCACTGCAGGACAACCTGTCACCCTGATACCTTCTGATGTGAGGCAGTCTAAAGTCACAGCATCACTGACAAGGGATCTTGCTAAAAATGTTTAACCTGGATCTAAACAAGCCTCTAACTTCAATTTCTCATTTTCTAAAAACACAGAGGATGCTGGAATAAACGAAACGACTCTGTGAGAGAGCTGTGAGACAAACCCAGGAGGTAGGACATTCTACAGGATGGCTGACCTGTTTTTTTCAAACTACAGAAGAAAAATAAAGGGAGATTGTTCTAGATAGGGAAGCGGCAAACTAAAGCTGATCATGCAGCTGACAGTAGGGTCACAGCATGTTTTTTGTCAAGTTTTACTAGAACACAGCCACACTTCATTCATTGACATGCTGTCTGTAACTGCTTTTGCACTAAAACAAAACTACTTCTGGTTGTTGTGATAAGCCATGTGGGCTGCAAACTCTCAACTCCTTACTCTCTGACCCTTCACAAAAAAAGTTTGCCAAGTTCTGTTCTGGAAAATACCAGACACACACTTAAGAGACCAAGAACTCAGAATAATCTTCAGGACTATTGACCTGGTTTTGTTCACTGGCAAGAAAAAGAAATGAAGGAGGGGGTTTCTAACTACCTATAAAAAAATCGGGGGGATTATGGGGAAAATGGAAATGGCCTGGATATGACATGGCACTAAGAAATGAGTTGATTTTTAGGTGAGATAATAGACTTGTATTACGTAAAGATGTCCTCATTTTTTCAGAGAAACACACTGAAGAATTTAGAGATGAGTGACCTTGGTTAGTTAGTCCTGGGAATGAAGAGAAGCCACAGGGTGGTCTCCTAGTCTGGGGCTGAGCCTGTCAAGGGCATGACCTGGAAATTCCTCAGGTGAGCTGCACTGGGATCAGGTGTGGCCTTATTTCCTCCCCACTTCTCAGTGTGAGAGAAGCCTATGCAGGCCCAAACCCTGCCTCGTGGGTACCAGGAGCCCTCTGGCAGGAGGAGGCCTAGAGATGCAGGGAAGGGCAGGGCCTGGGCCTCTGGAATGCCAAACGGCCAGGGCAGGAATAGTACCAGGCCAGCATCCCTTAGAGGTGAGCACCCAGGCCCCAGCCCCAGGTGCTGGGAGAGGAAGTATGCCCCACTCACCTCTGGCTAGGGATGCTCTGGGGTCAGTGACCTCAGCCCTGGAATGCTCAGCTTGCCCTGAGGAGCTTAGCCTGGGAGAGTGGCCTCCCCAGCCCACCCATACCAGTTACCCCCCTGAAGCATGAACTCAGAGCAGATGACAAATGGCCAAGTGCAAGGGTTCCAGGCCCTCTCCTACCTTGCAGAGGCTGCTTCAGTCACACCTTTGCAGCCATGGGGCAGTGACAGCCCAGTGTCCACAAGGTCCCTCTATCCCCCAGGACACTTCCTAGAGACCTAGGTGGAACTCTTAACCAGTAGCTAGTGAACAAAGGCTCCCAGGGCCCTTTTCACAAATACTCTGACCCAGTATGTGCAGGGCCTCTCCTTGTCTTCCCACCATCTACCATTTGGCCCCTCCCACCTTTCCCAGTCCCCATCCAACCTTAGTCAGGGTCTCAACCCCAGTATTCCTTTTTTGGGGAAGCATACCCTTCAAAATCCTAGATCGAACTGAAATTCTTTCCAGGATCCTCTTCTCACATCTGGGGTCAGTTGATAGCTATCTTCCCCTCCTTACAAGGGCTGTAACTGTATTTTTTGCCATCCCCTGCATCCCCAACACCCAGTGCAATGAATGACCACTCTAAGGGGAGCCCAAGAATGGCCAGGCACTCCAGGCAAATGTGATGTGGTCAGGGCTAGTGGCTCGGTACCAGAGGCTCTGTACCAGAAGCAGAACTCGCCCCCCCACCCCCACTCTTAGACCATCCCTGCCCTGAAGGGCACTCCTGCCCACCAGAGTGTGGCCTCTCACTGGGCATTCCTCCGGCCTTGCTAGGGTCAGCTGGTTACCTGACCACGCCCACCCTGAGATGGAAGGGCCACTGAGGGCAGGACCCATGTCGCATCCAGCACCTTGTGCTCAGTATAGGGCAAACACTCAAGCAGTGAGAACATAAGAGAAGAGGCCAGTGACTTCAGGGGAACAAAGGAGACTAGAAAAAACCTTCTTTCTCAACAGAGAGTCAGCCAGCCACTGTTCCCTGGGAGCCAGACTATCATCCACACACAATTCCCCATCACAAGCAGGAAAAAAGGGCATTTGGCCTCCCCTGCAGCTGTGCCCATGGGGAGCAGTCAGGCCATCAGGCAACCTCAAGCCTGACCCTGCCACTAGCCCGTCCCTGTGCCAGCCAAGTCTCACTGTGGTCCAAGCCACACGTGTCCCCAGATGCAGCAGTCCTGGTTCACATTCAAGCTCTGCCCTTGCTGGCTGCCCGGGTGAGTTCTTTCACTTCTCTGTCCCGGTTTCCTAATCTGTAACAGGAATAAGCAGTGGCCTCTTCCTCCCAGGGTTTGGTGCAACTTGTGCTTGTAGCTCTGTGACAACACACCCCCCACCTCTGCAAAAGCAAACCCCCAAAGGCCTGATTTCTAAAGCAACAGTAATTTCAGCAGCACTGGCGGAGAGGCACTTCAGGAGGAGCCAGGAGTGGCCCCTGGAGTGAGCCCCAGGGACTTCAGCCTTCTCAGAAAATAGCTCAAGGGCTGACGGGGCCTCCCTCCGTCTTCCCTACTCTTGCCCCTCCCTTCTCCCACTCCCATGACAGCCAGGTCCTTAGGGAGGGCCAGACAGCAGACTGTAGGAGCCTCCTGTCCCCCACAACCCAGAGGACTCACAAGGAAGATATGGAGAAAGTTCATCCTGGGAGATGACCAGGGGGGAACATGGTGCCCCTCACCCCAGCAAAAATTAATTGTACCCTTCCCCCTTAGAAGGGCTGCCAACAAGTCATGGGTGGAACCCTGGAAAGCCACAAGATGGGAAAGGTTGGAAAGCTGGGACAGGGCCTTCGGGGCTTCTCTGGCTCTCAGTTGTTCTCAGGGAAACTGGGGGAACATTTCCCCTGAGGTACAGAGAGTTGCCAGCTCAGGTCCCTCTTGGCTTTAGAGAGGAAGGCTGCTTCAAGGTTACCCTACCCAGAGACATAAAAGTGGGCAGACAAACGGATGGCTTCACAGGACCCCGGAGTTCTCAGCACCCTCGATTCCTGCCACAGGGCACCCTGCTACTCCAGGCTGTCCCATGCTGGGATTCACAGCTCCAGGCTGGAGGGAAGGCCAAGTGGTGCTGAACTTGCCACCCTCTTGACCCAACCCACACCACCCCTCTCCTCAGAGGCAGCCTCAGCACGTCCTCTGCTATGTGGCTGGGGACATGCCCCAACCTCTCGGGCCTCATTTCTCACTCCTTCTTCGATTTGACTCTCAGTCTGGTCTGGGAACTTTCTGAGAGCCAGGAAGTCCACAACCTTCCACGCTCCCCACCTCCTCCTCTCCTACCCAGAGCTCAGTCCTGACTTAAGCACTCAGTCCAACCAAAACAATGTTCAGGCTCCTATTAAAGCTCAAGCCTGTAAAAAGGATGCCATTGAGGCCTTGAGATGGGCCACACTGGCCTGCTGGCTCCAGAACCTGACAGGACTGGACACACAGCAGGGACCCCACATATTCAGAAGAGCTCCTGGAAAGGCAAGGCTGGAGGTTACCTGTAGTCATGGCAGCTTCGCATAAACTCAACCTTGACTTGACTTCATTTCCTACTCTCTCTAGCAGGCTAAAGGTGCAAAGATAATTATGGGTGTTCTCTCTCCCACAAACAGTGACATGCAAGAGAGGGGGGAAACATGCTCCCATTATCCTACACCCACCTGCCACCTCAACAAGTGCTGCCCTCCTCTGCCAGCATCCTCCCCACCTTGCTGTCAACTAGAAGGTGCTTATTCTCTTCCAGCCTCCAGACTGCATGCCCTACCCAGGCCCCGCCCTGGGCCTGTGACCCAGAGGCCCCAAGAAGCAGAGGCCAGGCTGGGGCCTCAGGATCAACTGAGGTGAGGGTGGCAAGTGCACAGGATTATCTCGTAGAGACAGAGCCGCTACCTCGCAGTTCAGGATGGATATGATGGGGAAACATTCAACTACACGTCTCTGATAAAAGATGAGAATGGGGTGGGGATGGGGATACCAGCTGCCCCTGACCTTCTTCAGCTCCCTGAAGCAGAGAAATGCCCTACCCCCATTTTCCAATGCCAAGATTCAAGAGGAAAGGCAAGCCGAGATCTCCCTTCTCGGTCCCTGCTCACTAACAGCAATGCTGATCTTGAACCTAAATCCAAGGGGAGATGGGGGCCAAGCCCCCAGAGGCCTCAGGGTCCTGGGTGTAGGACCCCTCATCCTCTCCGCGACTATCCCCGTGGCACTCTTGATCCCAAACCATTCTCATCTCGGGGTGAAAAATGTAGTTGGCTGTCCCCCCATCACATCCATCCTGAGCTGCGAGGCGGCAGCTCTGTCCCTCAGATAATCCTGTGCTCTCCCCACCCTCACCTCGGCTGACGCAGAAGTCTTCGGAGCCCGCACTCCCAGACATCACCGCCCTCCTTCCTGAGGGTGCCGAGGCATGGGGGCCTCAGAGATGCTACTGGTCCAAGGTCATGCAGCGAGGCAGCGGCAATATGCAGGGTCGTGGGGAGGAGGGGGCGCTGACCTCATGAAGCCGCCGCCCTCACTGTGGCTTTCGTGTCCCCCGGACAGTGCGCTGCGGAAAGCACCCCTGATCCACCTACTAACGTCACCTGCGTCCCAGGGACCTGCCATCATCCCAGTTCAGTTGCTGCGGAGTCCTCCGGGCCCAGCCTGGACAGCGGAGGCCCCTGCCCCAGCCCTGCCACCACGGGCGGCGGGGTCCCAACCACTGACTGCTTAGAACTGGGCCGGGGCCAGGAAGGGATCTCGGAGAGAGGGGCGGAACCAGGAGGCGGGGCAGAAGGGCAGTCTCACCTTGGGGGCGCACCCCGGAGCCGGGTTGGACAGGAACGATCGCGGCGGCGACGGCAGGAGCAGGGTCTCAACGCCGAGCACGAGGAAGGGAACCCCGCGCCGCGGCGGCCAGTCTCACGGCACGCCCCCGCCTGAGCCCATTGGTCGGCTGGGGGGGGTGGGGCGACAGACTCTTCTGACCAATGAGCGGGATCCAGAGAACAGCCAACGAGAGATAAGCCACCTGCATCAAGTGCAGGGGATGCTGCGGCTGCGCCCTGAGAGTCCGCGACTGCCGGTCGAGTTCTCGCGAGGAAGCTGGCCCGGCCTCCCAACGGGACCCGAGGCCAGCATGCGGCGGAGGGCGCGAGGGAAGGAGTCTCGGACAGACCCTGCCCCCACCCCTGCCCCGCATTCTGGGAGTTTTGCGCCTCCAGCCTCGGCTCCCTACTGGGAGGGGCCTCCTCTGGGCCTTGCCCCTCGGGCGGCCGTGGGGCGGGGCTCAGGGATGCGTGGAGCGTCTGCAGGTCGCCTTTCTCGCTGGGTTTCCGCCGCTGCTTCAGCCATCCGTGCGGGCCGCGCTAGTCCTGTCCGTTAGCCGCGGAACCCTGCATCCTTCCCGCTGCGCGAGCTCTGGGTTTCGACCGCTTCCCTCTCCGCCCTATCTCCGGTCTCGCGTCCTGGGAGCCCGGCTCGGCCAGGATGAGCATCTGAACAAAGAAGGCGTGCGGAATAGGGGTTGGGGGAACCTGTGCCGGCGCCCCCGGGGACCGCAGCCTCTGCTCCTTGTCTCCATGGAGGCGGTCGCCATGGCAGCGAGATGCGCAGCGCACCGCACCGGCGGGATGGAATGTGGGCGCCTCGGCTGAGCTGGGGAGTGAGGGAGAGGCGTGGCACTCCGGTCATCAGGGGTTTTTGCCCGGGTCCACCTGCGGGTTCGTGGACACCCTACCGATATTTCGCCGGCAGGGACAGGTTCCCCAAGTCCCCGAGGAAGCTGCCCAGAGCACGCAGTTCCTTCCTTCCAACGTAACCAGAGCAGAGATGGCCTGGGCGACTGACGGCCAGCTTCCTTTCAGAAGGGCCGGGATCGCTGCCTGTGAGGCGTCCTCGAGTCTGCCACCCTGTGGCCCCCAACCTGTCTCCTGGTCTCCAGTCTGCGCACTGTTGGCAAATTAATCTATCTGAGCTATTGTTTCCATCGCGTCCTTTCCCTGTTCCAGAGCGCTCTATACTCCAGAAATGTCTCCAGCAGAGCTTCACAAACGTTAGCAGCGTTTTGGGTGATCCGTCTGCTCTCTGGCGTTTGAGACAGTACTCTCCAGCGCTGACATTGGGAGCATTTCACATCTTGATCTCAGCACACCCACCCCTACCCACTCAGTACTCACTCCTACCATCTCATGAGCACCCCCCCTCCTCCAATGAATTTCCATGTCTGTTCTTCGAGGTCTAAAGTTGGCAGACAGCGGGCCCAAACTAGCCTACAGATGTATTTTGTTTAGGCCCACATGAGGCTTTTAAAAATAATTATTTCTCCCCTCCCCCGCCCTCCTCTTCCTGGAATCAGGAGTCTGGTTTCCTGGCTTCTTTTGAAATGTCAGAACATCTAACAACATGGATTTATATTCCAGTCTGACATCACACACCCCATCAGGAGCATGTCAGTTTATCATAGCCCCTACCAATCTCTAGTTCTCAGTTTATTACCTTCTGGGTCTGTTCAGACATTTGATTTTGTGATCCCCTCCTGGTCCTAATCTACCTTTCAACCTGGAAGGCTCTTTCAACTCTCCTTTCACAGCCAAAATTCATCCTCTCTTCAACCAGATGAAGGCCTGCCTTTTTTATAAAGTTGCTCTAGCCAACTTTCTCAAAACCATCTCTGGTGCACTAAATGTACACTTCCTGGGACTATTTCCTAATTGTCAATTCTTTCAACAAATATGTACTGAATGCATATAATTAGCAAGTTATTGTGCTAGGCTCTGTGGAGGGAAAGGCACTCATAGTTTAGTGTGTTCTTTTTGGGACACAACCAAAAAGAACTCTGGTCACCTGTTTCTGCCAAATATTCCTCATACTTCCAGATGCCAGGCAGTCTGGCCCACTGGGAGGAACTTAAACACAGAGCTACCCATGCCTGGGATACTATATGCTCCCAGCGAAGGCCAAAGATGGTCCTAGAAAGCCTCCAGGGGAAAATGAGACTTGAAGAGTAAGGTGGAAGTCAGGGCAGAAATTGCATGGCTGCTCCATCACTGCCCAATGGACCTGTGTACCACAAACAAGGTGTGCCACCATCAAAATGATGCCCAGTTCCTGGGACCTCCTGTGCAAAGGGCCTTACCAGAGCTAGATGACTGGCAAAGGAAGCCACAGGTCCCTACCAGACTTCCTGGAGATGCTGGCAGTACAGTAAGGAATTAGGGGCAACTCCAGGTTAGAACAGATTGAGCACAAGTAAAGCACCACTCCAGCTCCAAACATGGTAATCTGGACTCTATTCCTCTAATAAAAAAATTAGCTGGGCTTGGTGGCACACAGCTGTAGTCCCAGCTACTCAGGAGGCTAAGATGGGATGATTGCCTGAGCCCAGGAGATCGAGTCTGCAGTAAGCCATAATTGTGCCACTGCACTCCAATCTGGGCACCACAGCGAGACCTCGACTCAAAATAAATAAATAAACAACTATAACCTTGTTGGAAAACTGCTTGGCAGTACCTTATAGACCTGATAAATGCTAATCCTATGACCCAATAATTCTTACATATCTACCAGAAGACATGTATACAAATATTCATAGCAGCATGTTTGTAACAGACCCAAACTGAATATAGCCCAAATGTCTACAAACGATAAAATGAATAAACAAATTTACTCTATTTCTATGAAGGTATATGTCAGTGACATCTACCTTCTGAATGCATGCAACAACATGGATAAATCTCACTGACAATATTGAGTAAAAGAAGCCCAGCATAAAAAAACACTCAGCCAGGTGTGGGGCTCAAGCCTGTAATTCCAGCACTTTGAGAGGCCGAGGCAAGAAGATTGCCTGAGCTCAGGGGTTCAAGACTAGCCTGGGCAACTTGGTGAGACCTTATCTCTATAATACATAAAAAAATAAGCCTGGCATAGTAGCATGTGCCTGTAGTTCCAGCTACTTGGAGGGCTGAGGTGGAAGGATCGCCTGAGTCCAGCAGGTCGAGGCTGCAGGGACTATGAGTGTGCCACTGCACTCCAACCTTGACAACAGAGTGAGACTCCGACTCAAAAAAAAAAAATACTCTACTGTAGTACATATCTTTTGGTAAACGTGTGTGTGTGTTTCTCCTGAGTATATACATAGGAATGTAACTGCTGGGGCATAGCTGTAGTGGTTTAACCATGTGTCAACTAAGCCACAATAAACTCCATTTCCCAAATTCCCCTTCATGTATGTTTCTAATTAGGGTGAGCCACAACAGACATGTTTACATGAGATTTGAAAGATGGAAGAAAAGCAGCAGCAATATTGGATTTTGCGTTTGCAAGTTCAGGGCAAGAGCTTTAGCTCAGCACATTGTTGCTAATCTGCAGACTCACTCGTTGACTTGGGGTAGCAGCAAGGCCTGCAACTGCTCCCCCTTCCCTGTCCCCTCCTCCACTTCTCTGACTCCAGGCCACTTGACATAGGGTGCCAGCTTCTGGAGTTCATTCACATCATCGAGCCTGGAGGCAGTGAGAACTGACATGAGTTCCAGTTTGTCCTTGAGAGTCCCAGCTTATGCTTGGAAGAGTGGGCCCCTTGTAGTACTCAGAATTGGTTCTTCCAGATCAAACAGTCAACCACAGGTTGTCTCTGGAAAATTTGAGAAAATTGTGTCATGATTTGCGGAAGAAATATTCCGAATTGTTGCAGATAGGTTCTTCTACCATGACAACACACCTGCCCATACCACGCTGAGTGTTCAGAAGTTTTTGACCAAAAATGGCGTGGTCCCTGTGCCCCACCCTTCTTATTCACCAGATCTCACCTTGAGTGACTTTTTGGCTTCCAGTTTGTCCTTTCTCTCCCAGCTTTATATCCTCCTTCCCTTTCCAGTTGCCTGCCCTATGATTTTTTTTTTAGTTGGAATCTCACTCTGTCGCCCAGGCTGGAGTTCATTGGCACACTGCTCAAGGCCACCGCAGCCTTGACCTGCTGCACTCAGGTGATCCTTCTGCCTCAGCCTCCCAAGTAGCTGGAACTACAGGCGTGTGCCACCATGCTCGGCTAATTTTTCGATTTATTGTAGAGACAAGGTCTCTCCATGTTGCTCAGGCTGGTCTTGAACCCCTGAGCTCAAGCAATCCTCTTGCCTCTGCCTCCCAAAGTGCTGGGATTGTAGGCATGAGCCCTTACCTATGATCTTAAGCTCCAGCATCAGATACAAAAACAACAACCTTGCAGAGACTGTTTAACCAGCCTCCACAGTTACCTGAAGTCAAATACTTGTGACAAATTCTTCTTCCTTCTTTGATTGAACCCTAACTGATACAGTAGCATAGGCATATGTTTAATTTTACTAGGAACTGCCAAATTGTTTTCCAAAATGGTTGTACTTATTTACATTCCCATTAGCAGAATATGAGCGTTCCAGTTGCTATACATCTTCATCAACATTAAAATTGGCAATTAATTTTGGGGAAAAAAAGAAAAACTACACTGGGCAAATCAAACAAAGCAGCATAATGGACCACCAGTCTTCAGCCAAAGGACAATTTCACAATATCTATTAAGATTACAGATGCACATGAGCCAGGTACGCTGGCTCACACCTGTAATCCCAATAACTTTGGAAAGCAGAGGTGAGAAGATTGTCTGAGTCCAGGGGTTCAAGACCAGCCTGGGCAACTTGGCAAGACCCTGTCTCTACAATTAAAAAAAAAATATTAGCCAGGTATGGTGACTTCGAAGACTGAGGTGGAATGATCACATGAGCCCAGCATGTCAAGGCTGCAGTAGCCATGAACATGCCATTGCACTCCAACCTGGGTGACAGAGTAAGACTCTGTCTAAAAAAATAATAATAATAATTACAAGGGGTACCCCCAAAATACAGGAGTTATCTTTTGAAGGGTGACCCCCTTGTAGTACATTTGGAATTTGTTTCTCCAGATCTAACAGTCAACCAAAGT